ATATATATATATATATATATATAATAAATAATGTTGCAAACCGTGAACGACGAATGTGAAGTTGACGTCCATGATGATCCAGGACCATCACAGAATTCAACATGCGATACATTGGCTTCAGTATTTACCGTCGAAGAAGATTCTAAAGATAATGCCTGCACAGTATCTTCCAGCATTTGTTTCTGCTTCCTCTTCTTCTTCACTAATTGTTGCGGTTTCACTGAACAGGCAAAAATGCAAAACATCAGCATTGTTAGATGTGAACAAAATGTTAGCAAAATTAAGATGTCGAGGAAAAATTGCGTATTTTATATACGAGTTTTTTTTTCGATATTTTCTTCTTGGTTTTTCTTCCTCCTTCTCAATCTCTGGATTGGAACCCATAATAAATATAACGAATAGTAGAAAATTGAAAACAACAACGAAAAAAAAATAAAAATAAAAAAAAAGATTAAAAAAAAACATTAAAAGAACAATTGCAGAAAAAAAAAGAATGATAAAACAAAAGAAAAAATGCACCTCGATCACTGCATTTAAATTCTGGAAGAAGCCGTATTTTGTTAAGAATTACCAACATTGGTAATTATCAACCAGAGACAATATAGTAATACCCGATCTTGTTGCTGCTGATAGCGATAGTGTTGCTGTTGCTTGGTGGTGGAAATGTTCTTGTTTTATGACTACTTTTAAAAACATTAATAAGCAGAAGAAGAAGCAAATTACAGATGATAAAGAAAAAAAAAAAAGATTTGGCAGGTATGTAATCCGTAAGAATTAAAAATCAACAGATTGAAAAAAAAGAAGTAAAAAATTTAAATTGAGTAGGAAAAAAGCAACAAAAATTAGACAGGTAATCAAATAACGTGTTCAGTAGAAATTATTCGATACCAGAATTTTAAAGTTTTTAAATAATACATTCAAAGTTTCATAAATACAATAGCTTCCTTTCTGTTACATTCTTTCCCTTCCTCCACTCAACTTAACTTCGCCGATGTTTTACTTTGAAACGAATACGTAAAACAAAAATAAAACTGACGAAGGAAAAGATTCTACCAATAATTCTAATAAAACTGAAGATAAAGACAATAAAAACACTAATAACAGTAATAAAAGTAATAATAATAATTAGTATTGTTATTAAACATAAACTATTAGGTAGAAGTGAGAGCAAAACAGAGCGGAACAGCAAAGAACCGAAGGCTAACAAGAAAAAAAAATTTTTTTTTTCTAACTGGTAACAAAGGGAAACCAATGGAATAACAGAAAGATGAACAGAGGAGTAAACACTTGAAAAAAAAAAGGAATAAAAAAATTTTTAAGCAGAAAATCTTCCTTTCTTCATACATTTGCCTAACAAATTAGGTAAGAAAAAAAACTGCTTTTTTTCCCAAACGAAAGGTAAAAAGTGGAAGAAATGAAGTATACCCCTTCTCCCCTACTCCCCGCTCTCCCCAGTGAAGGAAGTGAGAACACTACCGTCAGCTGCTGGGTGCTATTTTTATGCCCGAAACTAAAACCATCGTTTTCGTCTCTTCTTCAGCACCACAACCATCACCACCACCACCACAACCACCGCTACCGCCACCGCCACTGCCACATACAAAGACACGCAGACACACAAGCAAAAACATACACTAAAACACACACACACACACACACACACACACACACACACACACTGATAATACAAAGACCGACTTCGTAAAAGAATTTCAAATTCGCCTTTGCACCTCAAGCAACATTCAGGGGACGGGGGGCCTGATCCGGATTTCGGCAGGTTGCCAATTCCAATTAAGAGCTTCTCCACTTTTCACAACGGCTTTAGGTTCCATTCCCTAATCTACAGGTTAGGTGAGGCCTTTGCATGTGGTCGCTACCTCCAGCTGTGCCTTCGACTTGTGTTTGATTCAGTAAACTAGTCTAGAATCACTTCGTTACTAGTTGTTGTTAATAAAATACATATTTGAAATGTTATTTTTTTTTTTTTGTTGCGGGGAGGGGGCCAATAATTGCAGATAGCTTTAGTTTTTTTTTGATTAGTTTTCTATTAAATTGCAAGGAAAAAAATTTTTTTCTTTTCTTTTCTTCATATCTATGCAACTTTCGTTGGCGCTTATTTTTTTTTCTTCTCTATTAAAGTATTGCAAGCTTTATTTATTTTGTTTGTTTTTTTTGTGTATGCTTTTCTTTGGTTGTTGTTGTTGTTTGTTGGTTAGTTGTTGTTGTGGTGTTGGCGATGATGGTGTCATAATGGTAGATTCCCACCTAGAATAACACCGTTGGCTATTGATTTAAGGGTTGAAAGAAAAAAATGGCGGAGGGGAAGGGGGGGGAGGGGTAGCGGGGAATTGTACGAAAGAATAGTTTGCCCAGTGAAAAGAGGATAGCAGCAGCAGTGGCAGCAATATAGTTGCCGATTTTGACGACGTCAATAAACGAAACATACTTTTTTCTCCGTTTTTTTTTTTTTTTTTCAGACATGAAGCTTTAATAGAAACAAATTTTTTTTTTTGTTTGTCTAGTTAAAAGCTTTATTTAAGAACAATTTAAATTGATTTCTGTGTAATACGACAAAAGGGAGTAAAATAGAAAAAAAA